TGCAGGAATTTCATCTCAATTTTAGGGAATTCTGCAGGAGAGCCCTCACCTGCATCAGGAGCGTGGTTCTGCTGCCCAGGGCTCGGCAGGGAGGTTCGGGTAGGGCTGATGCCTCTACTGGAGCTTGGGACACCTTGGGACACATCCTGCTGACTCTCCCATCGACCCTGCAAGGAAAAAAAAAAGTTTTTGTCCAAATTATCACAGGAGCAGGAGCGCAGCACCCTGCAAAGCTCAGAGTGCCAGAGCTGAGCACAGACCCTGCCCCAGAGGAGTTCCCAGTTACAGACCCAGCCCTGCAAGATGAGCTCCCTCCACACCAAAGCACAGAAAAAAGGTCATTTCTACCCCTCAAAGCTGAAATATTTCACCCAGTTGTGCTGCTGCGTCCTGGAAGGTGAGTGTGGTACAAYCAGGTGAGAATCCTACGGTGCTGCCTGCCCAAAATTCAGGAATATTTTGTTTATTTATTCAAAAGCAGCTGATGCAGTGTCAGGGAAGGGGTGAGGACAGAGCTCTGAGCAAGACAAGAAATTCAAGCCCTAAAGGTTGGATTTTGTGCCTGGAGTTGGAGAAAGGAGCAGCTGAGCAGTTCAAGAGGAAATAACAAGATCAGCTGCAGCGCTGGGAGTTTGTGACAGCCTGGAAAAGGGAGCTGGAATATCCAAGGACAATCCTGGGGATAGCAGGAGCCACCAAAAAAAAAAAAAATCAGGAGAGGTGAGAGTTTTGACACGGTTACTAAAGAGGGAACGAGATTATTGATTATTGTCAGTTCTGGAAGAGCCTGGGGCAGGTGAGGCAGAAACAGAAACAGGGGAACAGCAGCTCCTTCGCCTTCCCAGGAGGCCAGAGTTGGGTTTTTCCACGGATCCCACATAGAATTCTGCACGTGGAGGTGAATTTCTCACTTTTACACAGATCCCATTCTGCACAGGGAGATGATTTCTTGCTTTCCCATGGATTCCACACACCATTTTGCATATCGAAGTGATTTCTCACTTTTACACAGATCCCACACACCATTCTGCACATGAAGGTGATTTTGGGATTTCACACAGATCCCATTCTGCACGTGGAGGTGACTTCTCACTTTTGCACAGATCCCATTGTGCACATGGAGGTGATTTCTCATTTTCACACAGATCCCACACACCATTTTGTATGTGGAGGTGATTTCTCACTTTTACACAGATCTCATTTTGTATGTGGAGGTGATTTCTCACTTTTACACAGATCTCATTCTGCACGTGGAGGTGATTTCTCACTTTTACACAGATCCCATTCTGCACATGGAGGTGATTTCTCATTTCTCCACAGATCCCACACACCATTCTGCACGTGGAGGTGATTTCTGGCTTTCCCACAGATCCCACACAGAATTGTGCACATGGAGGTGATTTCTGGCTTTCCCCACAGATCCCATTCTGCACGTGGAGGTGATTTCTCACTTTTACACAGATCCACTGTGGGTTTGGAAGTTTCCTCCTCAATCTCAGAGCCAGGACCTGGCTCAGTGACAAAGACCTGGCTGAYAGAGGGAACCCCAAGCCACCGTTTCACATCAGCACTCGAGTGTGAAAAATCCACGTGGCCAAATCCTTTTTTACCAAATTCCATCATCTTCCCAGGTAAAACCATTTACAGATTTGCCTTCAAGRATGATTCCAAGTGGCCAGGCTGTGTCTGTGCTGGAAGTTTCAACRGATGCAGGACAGGGTTTGGTTTTGCTTCACCAAACTGAGTCACAAGGGAGGCACCAAATTCCACGGGGTTCTCCTGAGAACTTCTCAGGGAGTATGCAAAATGCTTGCCAAAGCAGTTCCTTCTCATTTTTTCAGTTTCTAGGAGACCTGAATGCAATTCAGTGCCCACTGATGAGTTTAAGGGTCAAAAAAGTCCAGAATTATCAKGGTCTTGTGGAAAAGCATTGAGGTGGCAGACAGTTCTCAGGACAAGTTTGCAAATCTTCACCTTCCCACCACCAGCAAGGACAGGAAGGTGCAGCCAAACTGATCAAAACTGAAGTTGGATCCCATTTYTTTCTTTGCAAAGAGTTTTGCCACGGCTTCCACATTCATTCTACACCTGAATTTTGCTCGTTTTTTTAAAAGACGTAACAAGAAGATAAATAATTTCACAGTAAAATGGTACYGTGGACACACTAAAAAGGAGTTACAAGGGATGGATGGACCTGCTGCACCCCAGAGCAGAAGTTTCATGGATTTTTCCTGATGGAAAAGGGTGAAAATTTGCCTTTTCAAGAAACTTCTAACTGTTGGATTGAAGAAATGAATCCGACCTTGAACATAAAAATGACAGGCAACGAATTAATCTGAACTGCAACTTGAAGTCATGAATGTTTCCCAAATAATAAATAAGCCAGGACAGGAGGAATAGATTTCTCCAGCAGGTTGAAGGTCAYGGGGGGCAGCCCAGGGCAAGAATCATTTCCATGTGGATCCATAAGTCAGTCCCAGGGAAGTTCTGCTCAGAATAACAAGAGACCAGAACTGGGGCAGGGCAGGACCTGTCCTCAGCTCTGAGGGGTTGGGAACTCAAATTTGGGCAMTGAGATACCCATCCTGAATGTCACAGTGATGGAGCCCGGGCTGGGAGCAGCAGGAACACATCAGTTTATTATTTAATTTGTTATTTTTGAGAGCTTTGGTGTTTAAACCCTTCTGGAAAGTTTCCTGCTCGATCCCCATGCTTACACCTCCAGCTCCAGAATAATCTCTGACCTGCAGCTCATTTATGTCTTAAACACATCCAAGAGCTTCATGTGAGGCTGGAAATTTCCACAAAACTCTTCAATGAAACCATCTTTCCTATTCCTCATCCCCAAACTCTTTTTCTTTTGTTTTTTTTTTTTTGTATTTCCATCAGTGAGGTTTCTCTCAGGTGGCCTTACCACGTAAAGATATTAATAAAAAATAAAAGACTCAAACCAAACAGCACAAGACTCAAAATGATTGTGAAATATTGGTTTTGTTGCCTCCTGGCAGATGTTGGCATTGGATGAGGAAAAAGAGCTACGGAAGGGTGGAAAACATCTGAAAGGTTCGTTTTTGAAGGATGTAACAAAGCTGGATCAATGTTCCTTTTGGATCTGAGGATAATGATCCACTGAAGGACAAAAGGATCAGGGTGACACGTCCTGAGCAAGCCTGAATGCTTCTGGAGAGCACAGAACAAACAGAAAGATTATTAAAACACTAAAGAGTGTCGTGGATTACTAGGACAGGGACTCCAAGTAGGTAAAGAGCAACAAAATCATTTTCTGAGTCATGATCTGTTGAGTCAGAAGTGCTCTTYGCTGATTGTTCCAAGAAAAAAAGAGATTTCAGGCCAATATCTTGACTTTCTAGCCCTGTTTGGGGAATGATGAAAAGATGAAATGGGGAAGAATCAGCAAAACACTTGGAGAATATTTGTCTTGTAGAGAAAGAATGGTGACATTTAGTGACTTTTTCCATGGGAAAAGCCTTTTTCCTTAGGATCTTTCAGAAATTTTGCTTCAGCCTTAATACTGTGGATGATTCCATTTTCTAAATAATTTTAAGTATTTTDCCAGGCTAAATAAAATGAAGGGCCTGAGAACAGGAATGAGAAAAGGATTGGTTTGGTTGTTCACTTAAGGCACGTTGGTTTTTTTCATTGTATTTATTTTGGAGGGAGTGCAAAGTTCATCATTTTAGCCTGAAGGTCTAAGATTTGTGACCCTCAACTCAGAGATGCCGACAAACCAACAAAATCAGATTCCACAAGTGGAAAAACATCTGGAAAAGAAAATCCTGGAGACAACTGGAAGTGTCAACTGTTGTGCAGAGGGAAAAGGCAATTCATGAATGATTTCACTGAACTAGATTGAAAGATAACCCATGACAATCTCAATAAAATAAAACCAAAAGGAATTAATAAACTAAATTAATGTGATGAAGCTCCCAAATTTCCCCTCTGGATGTCATCCAGCACTCTCCTGTGTTGCTTTGAGAATTCGGCAACTGCACCGCTCCAATTTTTATTATTATTATTATTATTATTATTATTATTATTATTATTATTGTGAAATTTTCTCTCTCAGCAAGGGTGGTGAGAGAAAGAGGAAGCTTGGAAATCACAGCCCAGAGGAGTCCTCATTCCATGAACATTTTTGGCCTCTGCCAAGTGACCAAACTGAGGTAAAATGATTTAATTCAACAAATCCAAAGCAGCCACCAGAAGAACGCACATCCCTTCATGTGTTTTGATGCAGACCTTTGTAAAGTGGGTTTTTTTCTACAATACTTTCTCCTTCTTCCCTTTTTTTCACACCTCCTCCATGAAAAAAAYAACCCAGGGAATTTATTTCATGCACAAAATCTTTAGGGCAGGTAGGGATGAGCGCTACCTAAGTCGTTTGAAGGCTTTTACCTGACAAATCTTTCCTTGAGGTTGACAGACCATTAAAATGCAGCCACTGGGTAAGAGAAACGAATAATTCTTGTGTTTTATTATTTCAGCAGTTCAGAAAAGGCTTAGGAAAAGGTGACCACGGAGCACTGAAACAYAAGCAAAGAGCTGGGACACACAGCCAGGACAAAAGGCACTTGTTCTCATCAACAGCGAGATTATTTGAATTCAACCTGCACGGGATCAATTTGCTGAAAAAAACCTCTGGTTCCCAGAAAAAACCTGAAGTTGAATGGCACCATCTTGTTTTACTTGGATTTAGAGCTAGAAATGCTGGACCTTTGGGCAAGGAAGGATAATTGTCCAGGACAAAATAGCTCTTGTACAGAAGAGTTTTAAGAGCAATTTGTGACATTTTTCATTAATATGTGATTTAATCTCATCTGTGAAACAAATCAGAGCTGCCTTCCATTCATTGTGCCCCTGACTCATCCAGTTAAATCAACCCAATTTTTAAATTCAGCATCCAACCGAATTTAATTAAATTAAATTTCCAACAAAAGCCCCCTCGAACATAAAAATAAAAACTCCTCCCYGTATCTGAAATCAGCATGAGGACACTCGACACCCCTGTCTGTGTCACCTGACATTGATGTGCAAGGAGAAATCAAACTCATCTCCCTCTGCCCTCATTGTATCTGCAGTGATAACGGAGTAAAAATTGCCTTTTTCTCATTTCAGTGAGCAGACAGAGCCTAGAGGTGACACCACGTGCAGCCCTGCTGACAATATCAAAGTCCATTAAAGTAAATTTAAAAACAGCTCCTTGCCTTCTCAGCCAGTTGGGAAGCTCCATCTTAGGGGTTATTATTAAAAATTCCCAATGGTGGCTTAAATATTCCCATATTAAATATTSCCATRTTAAATATTCCCATAAATCTTAAATGCAGAGGTGAGAACCATCCTGCTCCTGGGAACCTCTCTGTGCTGGCAGCACACAGGGATGTTCTTTCAAGGTGGTTTCTTCCCAAAGAAGTGCCAAAGCCACAGCTCTGCTCCAGTCCTGAAGAAGGATTTTCCCATCCCTTCAAGGGGACGTGACCATCCATACATAATTTTACTGAAAAAGTCTAAAAGATGAATTAATGCCCTAATTCTGGAGACTCCTGAGCTGCCTGTTGCAGTTGCACTGACACCATCTTTAATTCTTATTCAAACTCATGTAATATTCTTATTTAATCTTGTTTAATTTTATTTATTTTGTTTAGTATTCCCTTTTTTTTTACAGGGGAGTAAGTCCTGGCTCTTCTGAGTGCTGGAGAACAGAGCAGCACCCACATTCCAAACTTTACCAGCATGGATGGTGCTCATAAATCATGGAATGATTCCTCTGATCACACAGGAATGAGACTCAGGAACCCTATCCACAAAGCTCCTTAAAAATCCATGGAAAAGGCAGCAGAAATGCAAGGAATAACAGCGAGAGAAATAAAGTAATGGAACCAAAAGGAGAGGAATATTCTGGAATGTGCCATCAATATTCTGCAGCCAGTTCAGGTGCTGTTACTGTAAATTGGTGATAAATTGAATCACTTGTTTGGGACTTGCTTGTTATAATAAACACCACCAAATTCCTGTAAAATAACAACAAAATAACAATAAAATAACAATAAAATAACAACAAATGGCAGCTGCAGAAGGCTTCTTTGCCACCAGATTTCTCAGCACGGGACAAAGACATCCAGCTGAAACAAAACTCTGCCTGTTGAGCCATTCTCAGATCCTTTTGTGCCACAATGGACAGGACTGATCTCCCTGGTGATCTCATGATGTCTGTGTGCATTTAGGAATTTGTTAAATATTTCTCAGGGATTACAAAAGCTTTTGTTCATCTCCCTATGGAAATGGATCATTGAATGGCAGAATTGGGTTGGAAGGGTTTGAAGACACCGAATTCCATGGGCAGGGACATCTTCCACTGTGCCAGTGSCACCCAGCCTGGCCTTGGAACCAGAGATCCACTCAAAACCAGGAATTCCCRGCTGGGGAGGCTGCACTGAGCAACAAGTGCCTTGGATTGAAGCTCGCTGCAAAGCAAGGGGAGCAGCTCCACCACCTCAGCTCCACGTCTGTTCCTGCGGCACAGAGCTCCAGCAGCAGCTACGACCACAGCCAAGAGCAGCAGAACCTCATGCAAACCACCGCCAATGATCCCAACTATAGAAAACTCAGGAAAAATGCTCACTCCTTGGGGAGTTCAAACACCAAACTAAAGATCTGCACGTTTTCCATTGGCCCAGCGTTGTTTGAAAAAGCAATTTGTTCAAAGGAATTAAGAGTTGATCACTATAAAAGCCATAAAGGCTGTGGAAGATTTGGGAGAAAGTCTCAATGTTTCTCTCATCTCCAGTTTAATATCCACTGGTAGAAATTTTTACATTTGCTTGCTTTCATGGCTGTTTTTTCAGCTGAGAGGGGGTGATTTCTTCTGAAATGACTTCACCCTGTGCAGAAATTGGTGAGAAATGRCACTGAACAGCTCCGGCTCTGTAGCAGCACCCAAGGAGAAAAGTTCTCCGCTTTGTCCCAGCTCACGCCGCGTTAATGACGGGATTTCAATGGAAAAACTCGTTTGCTCTGCGCTATGCAAATGAGGCACCACCAGCAGCATCTTCAAAGCAGGGAATAAAAGCGTGTGAGTGAGCAAAATCAACTTTTATAGTGAGATAAATTTATTATCCCACTCATTAGGTGGACCTAATGCATTACCTCTGCTGGGACCTTTGGACTCTGAAACATGCAACGGGGGAAATCATCGAGGGGAAGGGAGGAGAAAAACAGAATTAAGAATCAAAAATTGAAAATCCTGAATTTTAATAATSCTTCAAAATTAAGAGCCCTGATCTTTAATTCTCACGTCAAAAAAAAACATAAAACACCGAAACATCCCACAACTCTCTCCAAAGAGAAGCTGCTACAAGCACTTTTATCACCTGAATGTATTTTAACATTCTCCCCACGGATCAGATGGAGCAGATTTAGCAACCAATGCTGGAGCACTACATCAAAATTCTATTATTCCCTGCAACTGCATTATGCATTAAAACGCCTTGTCACCACCAGATTCTCCCCCTCCAAACGACTCCACGCTTGCTGGGCAGAATATCTATCAGGAGGAGATCCTTCAGTTGATCTGGGCCTTTGGAAAATAAGCTTAAATTT